TGATATCTGCTCCCCATTATGGCGATATCTTGATGAAATCTTTTGCCGTGTTCATCACTAACGTCTCCAAGGTTACCTGGGAAAAATTCAATATGAGAGTGGAAAAAATAAAATTTCAAGGACATCCTTGCTCCCAATGCATGACAATTCTGAAGCATGGTTGTTACGATTTCTTTGTAGTTGTCAGCACGATAGTTTCCAAGAAAATTCTTTGACACATTGACAAATGATTCCCATGCTTTTTTCTCCAGTGGGTTCAATGTTTTGGTGAATTCGCTATCATTAACTAGTATACGAATTTATGGTCCATTCAAGACACCTGCTTTCAACTTGGCTTCGGAAACCACACCACCTAGTTTCTGAGATAAGTATAGAGTCCCAGCACCGAATTGATCCATAGCTTTGATGAAATTTTTAGCCAAACTGAGCTTTAGATGCAGTGGAGGCAAAAATATCTTTTCTGGATCTACAAGCGGATTGTGAGCACAGTTAAACCTTCCAGGCGCATCTCTTGGTCTTGTCGGCCAATCCTTTCTCACATAGTGCTCTGCATCAGCTCTGCTGTTCCACAAGCACAAAAAGCACATGTGCTTTGTGTAGCCACTTTGAAGGCCCAGTAGTAAACTGATGACTTTGAGATCGCCACATATCTTCCACTGGTGTTTCTCATACTCTATAGCGGCCAACAGAATTTTCATTGTTTCATAGCTCTCAGTCATTTTTGTTGCGTGTGCTATTGGGACAGATGGAAGCCAATTGCCATTGTGTAAAAGAACAGCTTTCAGAGAGTCTTTTCCTGAGTCTATAAACAGCCTCCAATCCTCTGTCTTGTATGTTTCAGACTTGCAGAGTTGTTGCATGAGGGATACTGCGTCCTTGCAATAACAAAGGTTGTTTGCCATCTTGAAAAATGCAGACAGCTGTCTATGTCGGTAACGCGCTGTAGTGATATGCACTCCATCTTCTAGCAGGTTACGCTGCTTTAGTCTGGATCCCAAAACTTCAGCCTTTTCTTTTGACAAGTTTAGGTCCCTGATGAGATCATGAAGCGCTTCTTGAGTAAATAGTTTAGGCCTGGTATTTTCAGAGTCATCCTGGTAGTCGTTTTCCATTGAGGTAGAGGTAGAATCGGAATCACTCAATTCTTGTTCAGTCGGTGGATTTGGGACTGGAAGTTCAGCACTGTGCGGTACTGGTCGGATTGCAGAAGCAATATTGGGGTACTGTACCTTGCCTCGTGTCTTGATTTTTATTCCCTTAATATTTGTGAGACAGAAGTAGCAGTCACTACTGTGGTCTTTAGGTTCACGCCATATCATTGGTACAGCAAACGGCATTCCTGAACTTCGTTTACCACACATCCACTCGCTCAGGTGGTTAACACAAGACTTACAGGCTACATGAGGTGCCCATTTCTTGTCTTGGTCACCCAAATGACATTTGAAGTAACTTTTGTAGTTCAGTCGAACAGCTTTTGTGATTGGTTTCTTGAGGCTACCAGGAGTGAAGGCACCACATATGTAGCAAAAACTGTCAGCACCGTTCACACACTTGCGACGTTCCATGTTTTGTTAATTTCAGAGTAATTACAAATCATGCAGGTGTAGATATGCAATATCATGAATCAGCAAACTGAAACAAACAAAAGAGCACAAATCAGGACAAAATAATTGCATAAGTGGAGCCAATGAGCATATAAATTACTGTATGAATAGCATGGTACACTAAATATATAGATATGCTGGTTCTGGAAAACTGAGCCTGATACAGCTATACGAATGTCATATTGAGTTCAGCACATACAATTACACTAGAATCAGACTGTTTTGATCCAGAACCATGAGAATTTTTTTTTATGTTGACCAGTGTAATGGATGAGTGGTGGTTGTGGTAGATGGTTGTAGTTGAGGATGGTGGTGGTAATAGGTAAACTAGGTTTAGGGCCACGTTGAAAAATATATCACATAGGTCTACATGGAGTCATAAAGGGTCAATCAGAAATACATGAAGTCGCATGGGGTCACATAGAACCACATAGGGTCATAGAGGCTCCTATTGGGTTACATGAATTCACAAAGACCAGAATTGTTACAGGAACCCGCCCGGTGTGTCCTAGGATCAAGCACTGGCCAATGGAGGAGTTGGGTGGTGTTGGTTGTAGTGGTTGTTGGTAGTGATGGGTAGTGTTAGTAATGGTTGTTGAGAGTAGCGAGTGGAGAGAATGGTAGTTTTATTACTCGCATGAAACAAATTTTGCATTCAGTACCAAGGCTTAATAACAGAATTAATTCGGTATTACATATTCGTCAACATAACAATAATATCTCCAGTATTGTGTTGGTGGTTGGATGTGTAAAGTGTTATTGTCAGAGTATGTTGATTGTGCAAGGTGTCGTATGTAAGCGTGGTGGTGGTTCGTGGTAGTGGTTCGTGGTAGCGTGGTGGTGGTTCGTGGTATGTTGGTTGGTGGTTGTGCAAGTGAGTGTGAAAAGCGTGTTGATGGATATAAAACTGTGAGTGTGAGAACGTGTTAGTCACTGTACAAGTGTGAAGATCATGTGGATAGGAAGGTTAGGACAAAACTCACCGGACAAAATCTCACCAAACCTAACCTTTTTGTCCGTGTACCGGTATTAAGTGGCGGTAATGGGTGCATGGTAATAAATAGTGGCGGTGGGTGGATGTTGGTAATGAATGACTGGTAGTAGACTAGGACGGGTACTAGTAGATGGGCCACAGCTCGGTAGTGGTGGATGGTTATGATGGGTGGATAATGGAAGTGGTTGGCTGTTGGCATGAACTGCTTGATATTCACTGTATACTAACTACAAGTAACTACAGATGAAAGACGAATACCAAAGGACTTATTAGCCAAAGTAAAGGAACTCCATAAGAAAAAAATAAACTAAATTTTCAAGAATATCTTCAAGAATAAAAACAATAATTGGAGCTCGAGTTTATTATCATTGGATCATTTACCCATCACCAGTGTAAAGACAAACAACAATAATACCCAATATACTTATCAAAGGTATCAGGTGTAGCAGTCAGATATCTATAAATCATGACCCAACATTATTTATACCCACAGCATTACTTCACCCAGCCCGCTATGTTTTATTGTTCACGTAAGTACATAATAACACTCAACGTCTTATACAACCCTCTGAGGGCTGCCGACTCTTACCAGTTTACTACTACATTCTTCTACAGATCCATTTGTGAGGAAAGATTCGGTGTCTTATGTGATTCAGTATACATAAGGGTTACATAAATTAGCGTTTAATATGCATCTTTTTTACCTATGAATATTTTACACACTCCAGTCCTGTTTTGTCTCAGTCTTCGTTACTTTAAGAGAACATATTTGATTCATGTAACCAGTTATTACATAATTGACTTGTCATGTAAGTTCTGAGTCATTGCGTGATGGTGATGGTATAGGGCCGGGGTCACCAAACTACGGCCCGCGAGCCGGATCCCAAGTCCTTCCCCGGCTCGTGGTAGCTCAGCCTACGCTCTGACGTTACCAGAGCTTTCGTTCTGGCTTGCAAGTATTGAACAGAATGATTATGCGGCCCGCGCTCGTCATTCTTTCAGTTATCCGGCCCACTGTGAAAAAAGTTTGGCGACCCCTGGTATAGGGTGATGGGGTGGTGATAGTGGATGCATAGTGGTAATGGGCAGGTCATGAATGTGCAATGATTGAATATCAGACCAAAGCTTACAGCCCAGAATTACATCACATATAACAGCAAGTACACTACAGACCTCGTGGTACCACCACATACCAGGTTGACACACCCCAAGACCCTAGGGACTTGACCTCGCCGGTTAATTACCTGAAATAGCGGGTGACCTAATCACACCTAAGACACACCTGGGCATGACCACACCTGAACACGCCGTCCAGATCTAACCAGTTTAGTGATAATTGGTTAGAGGTCAAAAGCCGGCTGGGCCGACCCCATATAAAGGCCCTACAGTCCCGTCCACGCTGATTCTCATTCCATTCGTGATTCTCATACGACTATCATTCAGAGAAGTTGGTCATTGAAAGGTCATTCTGGTCACTCACAGTCATGCTTGTCCCCTCCCCCCCAGGTCGGGGGGGCGGGAGACCTCACGAGATCCCAGTCAAGCACCCACTGGGACTACGTCAGGGTACACGTGAGTCTTGTCAGAACTATTCCAAGGGTGAGTTACCTACTGTGCGAAGTGTATTCATTCAGGTGTGTCCGAGAGTCAGTGTCGAGTAACGTAAAACATAATGTGTTAGTACCCCGATATAATAGTGATATTAATGTGTCCATGTCATTGAGTGAATTAATAAATAGTTGTATCGAAGAGGTGTTTAACAAGTTGTCCCTTGAGAAGAATAGATATGTGTATTGACGTAGAAGATAAGTGTGTTGACACAGTGTAAATAACAAGCGGCCACGCTACCAAGCTTTTCCTATCTTTACATTCCTACTCTCTATACTTCCTACTATAAGTAATCTCTTCTCTTGTGAGTTTTGTCTCATTATAATGGTGGCAGCGGCTCGGTGAGTTTGTCTCATTATAAATGGTTAGGTCATGGTAGTGGTTGGATGATGGTAGTAGATGAATAGTGGTAGTGGATGGGTGGTGGTAGAGGATGAATAGTGGTAGTGGTTGGATGGTGATAGTAGTTGGATAATGGTAGTGGTTGGGTGGTGGTAGTAGATGAATAGTGGTATGGTTGGATAATGGTAGTAGATGAATAGTGGTAGAGGTTGGATGGTGGTAGTGAGTAGGTAGATGTGTCGGGTAGCTGGTGGTGGTAATGGGTTGGTGAAGGAGGTTGGTTAGTGGTGGTAGGTGGAGGTGGTGGCTGTGTGGTGGTACTAGTGGAGAGGTGAGAGAAGAATTGATTGGGAAGGTTCCAGGCAGATGACTGTTGCAGCATAATAGAGGTTCTCACTCAACAGTAGATTAATACAAACTGATAATGTGTGTGTGTGTGTGTGTGTGTGTGTGTGTGTGTGTGTGTGTACAATAATCACAGGAGAAAGAGACATGTTACTGTGGGATCTTTCAGAAAATTAATATTTTTTTGAAGAAAACTATTAGACGCGTTTAAACTTAAAAAAATCATCAAATAGTTTAGTGAAGGATTAGTCCAGTGTACAGTACTAAACAAACGATCTCTGCTGTGTCCTGTCTACGTACATCACCAGAACTCAGAAAATCAACACTGTAACACCAACAAAAATCATTCACAGTACTTTAAGAACAATTCTCTTTTTCATGGACAATGTATGTAAGTTAAATATACGTATAGAGAAGATCGTCCGTCAGGAGCCAATTTATTACGTTACAACAGTGCGGTCAGAGCCATATACGGCAGGTACAGTAAATGTAAATAATGATACGTATTGTTCATATGATTATATCCGGCTTCTTTTGCTTATCAACCGTCTCGTGTTTGTTCCTATTCAAGATCTATTTTTCTTAGCGGAGAGGCTGTAACGTTAACATCTAAATTAAAGATTATCGATTACTGTGGTAGGAACGATATGATGATGAGTTCCACGACGAAGGAGAGTCCAGCCAGGCCGAGGCCCAGAAAGAGTAGAATGAAGGGCCCCTGTAGATGTATGATGGTGAGGGACCTGTCCCTGGCCGAGTCTGCCCTTTCTTCCTCTAACTTCCTCTCTGCCAGGAGTTCCCGCTGCTGCCTCTGGCTCTCACGGCGGGTGTGGATGATCATATCGTCGCTCCATTTCTCGTATAATCCAGCCTGAGGCCGGATGTTGGCAGGACAAGAGAGATAAATCATGAAGGACGAGGACTTAAGTCATGTGTAACTTGCACGAATATTTTTAATGACATCGTCCATTTGGCATCATCTCACAGTTGGTGTAACATTTAAGTAAGACAAGCCGTAATATAATAGTATAACTTATTTAATGATAGCAGCTGTAGGGTCATGGAGATTAATATTAGTATAATTATAATTATTATTATTATTATTAGTATTATTATTATTAGTATTATTATTATTATTATTATTATTATTATTATTATTATTATTATTATTATTATTATTATTATTATTAGTAGTAGTAGTAGTAGTAGTAGTAGTAGTATCATCTAAGATAAATTAACTATCTTTAGCTTACTATGAAAGATAAATAATTAAAATTTCTTAAGAACATAAGAAAGAACATAAGAAAATAAGGAGTCTGCAATAGGCCGGTTGGCCTGTGCATGGCAGCTCCTGTCGAGAGTTACTACCACTCTCTATCATCCATGAATCTATCCAGCCTCTCTTTGAAACTTTCCAGCGTTCCAGCACTAACTACAAGGTTGCTAAGCTTCTTCCACTCGTCCACCACCCTATTTGTAAACCAGTTCCTTCCTATCTCCCTCCTAAACCTAAACTTATTTAACTTGAATCCGTTGTTCCGAGTCCTATCCTGCTCGGATGTTATAAGAACTTTATCTTTATCACCTTTATTGATTCCTTTCACCCACGTGAAGACTTCTATCATATCCCCCGCACTCTTCGTCTTTCTAGGAAATGCAAGTTTAGTTTCTTTAACCTATCCTGATATAGAAGGTTTCTAAGTCCCGGAATCATTTTCGTCATTCTTCGCTGCACCGACTCTAGTGAATTGATATCCATTCTATAATAAGGGCACCAGAACTGAACCGCATAATCGAGGTGCGGCCTGACTAACGCAAGATATAGTTGCAATAAGACCTCTGCACTCTTGTTACTTACACTTCTAGATATAAAACCCAATACTCTGTTTGCCTTATTTCGAACATTAACGCACTGTTTTCTAGGCCGTAGGTCCGGGCTTAAGTACCCCCTAGGTCTCTTTCACAAGTCGACTTCTCTAGGTTGATGTTGTTAAGGCTGTATACATTGACAGTATTTGTTCTTCCAATATTAAGTACGCTGCACTTACTGGTGTTGAATTTCATTTGCCATTTTTCAGACCACCCCTGCAGTTTATTTAGATCCTCCTGTAATGCATTTGCATCCTGCCCTGAATTAATCTGCCGCCCTATTTTGGTGTCATCCGCAAACTTGCTTATGTCACTGCTGATCCCAGTATCTAGATCGTTTATGTTGATTATGAACAAGAGTGGGCCTAGTACTGACCCCTGGGGAACCCCACTGGTTACACGACCCCGCTCAGATTTAACACCATCTATGCTGACCCTCTGCGTTCTATCGGTGAGCCATGATTTTATCCAATTTAAAACTTTCCCCTTGATACCATGAGCCTTAATTTTTCTCAGAAGCCTCTGATGTGGTACTCTGTCAAATGCTTTGTTAAAGTCTAAGTAAATAACATCGTAATTTTCGTCATTATCTACTACCTCGAAGACTTTCCTAAAAAATGTCAGCCGATTTGTTAGACAAGATTTTCCCTTTGTAAACCCATGTTGAGAGTCGTAGATTAATTTGCTTTTCTCTAAATGCAATCGGATGTTATCAGCTATAATTGATTCAAGAAATTTCCCCACTTCTGACGTCAAACTGATCGGCCTGTAATTTGACGCTGATGCTCTGTCTCCCTTTTTGAATATGGATACTACATTTGCCTGTTTCCACAAGTCTGGCACAACTCCGGTGTCTAATGATTTTGTAAATAAGTTTAAAGGGGTCCGCTAATCTGTTCCCTACACTCTTTCAAGACTCGAGGGAAAATTTCATCCGGCCCTGGGGATTTTGTCTTCTTTAGTTTATTTATCTTCTTAAGAACATCCTCTTTTCTGATAGTGATATTCTTTAATTTCTCTTCTTCTTTTCCCTTAAATATCAGTTCCACCTCTGGAATTTCATCGCGAATTTCCTCTGTGAAAACTGATAAGAAGTAGCTGTTCAATACTTTGCTTATTTCTTCACTGTCATTTATCACTTCTCCCCTCCCTGACTTTAAAGGCCCAACTTTGTCCTTGATCTTTGTTCTATATACCTGGAAAATTCCCTTGGGATTCGCCTTGGATTCTCTTGCTATTTTGATTTCATAGTCTTTCTTTGCTTTCCTTACATTTTTCTTAACATTCCTAGATAGTTCATTATATCTATTTCTGAGCTGCTCCTCCCCTCCCTTTAATTTCTTATATATTCCTTTCTTTATTCCTATGTCATGTTTAAGTTTTCTGGTCATCCACCTTGGCTCATTCTTATTTGACCAAATTTTTCTGTATGGTATATTTTGTTCTTGTGCTTTATGTAGTATACTAGTGAATATATTTTAGTCATGATCAATTGTTGTGTCATCTATGACCTCACCCCTTCCTACTGGTGACTGACGTGACTGTTCCCAGGTGACCTCACCTAGGTACCTTCTTAACCCCTGATAATCCGCCAACCGAAAGTTTGGGACTCTGACCATATTGTCATTGTTTTTCGTTTCCCAATTTAAGGTGAACCTGATTTCTCTGTGATCACTGTTACCTAGTTCTTCCCCTACTGTGATATCTCTGATAATATTTTCTTTATTTGTTATTCACCTTCTCCTAGTTTTCATACATGCAAATATAAAAAGATAACTTAGAAGGTGGGAGCTTTCGTGAGTCACTCACTTCGACAGCGGCCATGATGCAGCGGTCAAGCTGAGTCTTGTATGGGGCATCGTGGGGAATGGGCCAGCCAGAGGGGCCCGGGAAAACAGACTCTTGTCCCAGATAGAGAGACGAACTGCCGTCCTGGAGCGTGAACTGTTCAGCAATCTTCTGCTGCAGGGATCTTTTACCGCCCATGTGTGCCTGCCTGTCTCACGGAAATATACATAGTAGTTATGAAATCAACAATAGAGGTTAAGAATAGATTAGAAGCTTTGTTACGGAAAACATAAAAAGGGGAATGGGTGGTGCAGTTAGGAGCCAATGATGCGAATGTAGAGGAACCCTGTAAAGACGAAGAACTAAAACAGTACTTACTATTACCTTTACGGACATACTTCAGGTGCCACAGAGAATGACAAAATTTGCCGGGAAGTTTATCACATTTAGCTCTTAACTCATCCTTTTACGGTTTACTACTACAACAACAACATAAGAACATAAGAATGGAGGAAACTGCAGCAGGTCTATTGGTCCATACTGGTCAGTCCTGTTTACACCGAACCCCTATCGCTCATATATCCATCCAACCTATGTTTGAAGCTATTCAGCATATTCAAGTTTGGAAACTTGTTCTACTCTATTTCCAAACCAATGTTTAGCTATCTCGCGCCAAAATCTAAATTTGTCTAATTTAAAACCATAGCTACAAGTTCGCTCCTGGTTGGATAGTTTGATTACCTTTGTTATAGCACCTTTGTTTAGCCCTGACTTCCATTTCTACGCCTCGATTATATCGCCCCTCACTCTACGTCTCTCGAGGGAGTGCAAATTAAGATGCTTTAATCTGTCTCTGTACTCAGGTACCTAATGCCAGGGATTAGTCTTGTCATTCTCCTCTGAATTCTTTCTAGGGATTCTATATCCATTCTGTAGTACAGTGAAGAACTGAACTGCATAATCCAAGTGATGTCTCATAAGCGCACGATAGAGTTTTCGTATAACATCGCTAGTCTTGTAACTAGCACTCCATGTATGAACTCCATTACTTTATTAGCCTTGTTTAGTAAATACACATTGTTTACTTGGTTTAAGATCCCTACTTATTATCACTCCTAAATCTTTCCCACAGTCGGATTACTCCATAACAACGCTGTTCATCTGGTATCTGGTTTCTCTGATTACATCTCCTAGACTAAGTACTATATATTTGTCCACATTAAATTTCATCTGCTATTTTTTAGACCATGAGAAGAATTTGTTTAGATCTTCCTGCAGTTTTGCGGAGTCCTCGTCACATTTAACTCCACACCCTATTTTAGTGTCATCAGCAAATTTACTTATGTTGCTGTCTACGCTGATATCTATGTCGTTTATGTATATAATAAATAGTAATAGTCCAAGTACTGAACTTTGGGGTACTCCACTAATGACGTTACCTCAATCGGATTTCTTTTAGTGCCGTTAATGTTTACTCACGGTGTCCTGTCCTGTAACCACGCCCTAATCCATTTTAGAATATCTCTTCCAATTCCACGAACCTCCACTTTTTGTATTAGTCTTTCGTGGGGGACTCTGTCGAAGGCTTTGTTAAAGTCGAGGCATACCATATCATAATCATGTCCGTCATCCACTACTACTACTACTACTACTACTACTTATTTTTTTTTTAAAGCCGTGGCCTCCAGCCTCCCCCAATAGCCACACCTTCGCCGCCATTTTATTACCTTAATATTAAATATCCTATACATAAGTAGCTATCCTTGCTGTGTTGAATTAGTTGACCCACAGATCTATGCGGCATTCAGTGACTGTAGCCTCATAGTCAATACTTATAATTGTGTGTATACTTTTGTGTATGTATAGACATTGATGACATCAATCGAAAGGAAATATTCAAAATAAAAGGAACTTACTTATTGTTCAATGCCTGGTGTAGTCCTTCCTTCACTGTGGGGCCGATGGTCATGATCTCAGCCAAAGTCTTGAACACCGGGGAGTTGGACTGCTTGAAGAACTTGCGGAACTCTTCTCCGTACTTCGGCATTGTTACCCTTTGGAAAAACTAATTAGTTTTGGTTCTTTTGTTGGCGAGAAACATGTTTGTGTTAGGCGTCTTAGGGATCGTTATAATATAATCATGATTTCACCAATTTCGAATTTGTTTTCGAATTTTTGAATTGGTCCCTATATTAGGAAAATCAGTTAGATACCACTAATATGATCTACAAATGAACAGCATCAGCACTAACCTAACCTAACCTACTGTAACTTACCTAACCTAACCTAACCTAACCTAAGCGAATACCACCTAGCTTAAATTTACCTAATTATAGTAAAGTACTGTATGGCCATGATAAGAGAATGAACAATGTAATAAGTGAAACAGTATGTTCACTATAGATACACTAGTTTAAAAAAAATGAGAATATTACAAGCAAAAATAAACCATTGTCAAAAAGTTATTATTCCTTTAAGACGTGACGTGTACACACAATAACAAAAAGTATCGCGCACTGGAGGTCTGCTGACTTCCGTAATGATCCATACAGCACCTGATGTGCTCATCCTTGACCACCGTAGGGTCGAGACCTATTCAGGCGCTGCTCCTCAGTGGCCCCTCTTGGCCAAAGTTCGGCCCATTCCCCAAGTCCCTCTCCCCGACCCATCCTCACCACCGGGATATCAACATAATCAAAAGTGACAATTTCGTTTCGCAAAGAAGTGGGACCAGTGTTGAACATTGATGAACAGTGTTTAAGCCAGTGATTTAAGCACTAGACAGTACCAGTGAGAACTGTGACCCACCAGTGGGATAATCACCCCAGGGAGCTGGCCGCCATCTTCTGACCAGGAGGTGCTAATCAGTCCACCATGGGAACAACAGAGGGCCGGCCGGCTATGCACCTGACTACGTGATAACACAACACCACCTAGCAGGGCGAGGTACTATGACACCACCCCACACCACCCGGTGTCCCCATGACAACGTGAGGTCCTTCATATCAACACCCGAGGACGAGTTACTGCACCACGTGAACGCCACACCACCCAGTGTCTCCATGACCACGTTAGGTCCATCATTCCAACACCCGAGGACGAGTTACTACACCACGTGAACACCACACTACCTGGTATCTCCATCACCACGTGAGGTCCTTCATATCAACACCCGAGGACGAGTTACTACACCACGTGAACACCACACCACCTGGTGTCTCCATGACCAGCCCAGGCCCGGGCCATCAACCGTAAACTATAATAATTTGTATGTTCAATCATTGTTCCTTCTTCTTTCAGTAGTGAAAGCTTTTGTTAAACGACCCACCACCCCATGTCTTTGTATGTAATAAGTCCTTTTTGTCCAATGTATATTTTGCAGCCTTTGGGCTGCCGACTTTTTCAATAAACCGTTAATTATTATTATTATTATTATTATTATTATTATTATTATTATTATTATTATTATTATTATTATTATTATTATTATTATATTGTTATACCATCAACTGTGTATACGGCAGGACATGTCGTTAGCAACAGATATGTGAGGACACCCTCAGGCAAGGACAGCGGGACTACTACCATAATACAGGACCAACACGCATACAGTAGTCTGCTATCCCTCGTCCCTGGTGATATATTGTTTCACACATAATCCGTGCGGTACTTTTTTTTACTGTGTGTACACTATACCCTGGTTTGTCAGTTACAGGAAACATAACAGTAAAGTTCCATCACCTGTCAGCAAAAGCGACGAGTTGTTCAAGTGTCTCAGCTCGGGGTGGGTACTTGGGCAGCGTCAGGAAGGCGGTGAGGTTGCCACGGTAGGCAGTCCCGATGACAAGAGAAAACACCAGCCAGGTTGCTACAAGTACACGGCTTGAGCCGGTCCTGGGCAGTCGTCGTGGAAGATTCTGGCCCACTAACATCCCTGCCACGTCCTGCACCATCATGCCCACACCTCTGGCATTTCTTCGACTCTCCTGTACCATCACACAACTGAGCTGGAACATGTCACAAACCACATTTTATCATTAAAATTGTGAAGTTCGTTTTCTTCTGATACACTTTAAAGAATATATATATATATATATATATATATATATATATATATATATATATATATATATATATATATATATATATATATATATATATATATAATCAACACCTCACCCCACCAGGATTCAAACCCACGATCTTATAATTGTGACCAGGGAACGCTACCTCTGGGCCACCAGGACACTAAAAGCAGTCCTTGACTCTGTTATATTTCACACAAAGCCTGATCAACGAGCTTATGGCGCCATGAACCTCTAATGGGGACCACCCGTCCCGCTTAGGTGATAAGAGCAACATTTTACCAAATCCGGCTAATGATATATATATATATATATATATATATATATATATATATATATATATTTCATTAGCCCAATAGCATGCGGACTTCTACAAACAATCAACATCTCAACCCGCCAGGATTCGAACCCACGGCCCACTAGCCCATGACTGTGACAGGGGAACGCTAACCGCTAGACCACCAGGATACTAAAAGCAGTCCTAGACTTTGTTATATTTCACACAAAGCCTGTTCAACCAGCTTATGGCGCCGTGAACCTCTACTGGGGACTACCCGTATCACGTAGGTGGTCAGAGTAACGTTTTACCAAATCCGGCTTCGAAACACGAGGATCCATATATATATTTCATTAGCCCAATAGCACGCGGACTTCTACATACAATCAACACCTCAACCCGCCAAGATTCGAACCCACGGCCCACTAGCCCATGACTATGACCGGGGAACGCTAACCGCTGGACAACCAGGATACTAAAAGCAGTCCTAGACTTTGTTATATTTCACACAAAGCCTGTTCAACGAGCTTGGGCTAATGAAATATATATGGATCCTCGTGTTTCGAAGCCGGATTTAGTAAAACGTTACTCTGACCACCTACGTGATAAGGGTAGTCCCCATTAGAGGTTCACGGCGCCATAAGCTCGTTGAACAGGCTTTGTGTGAAATATAACAAAGTTTAGGACTGCTTTTAGTATCCTGGTGGTCCAGCGGTTAGCGTTCCCCGGTCACAGTCATATATTTATTTATATATATGCTAGCAAATCATTTAAGGGAACTTAAGTATACAACGTTGACATACAATGAACATTATAGGCGGGACGAGGAGCAACATAGCCAAAACCGTCGCCCACACCTCCCCGGTCAGCGGGTAGTAGAGTTTCTGCCATTGAGGCTGCAGTGACGGCTTGGCCATAGCGAAAGAGAAGAAGGCGTACTCATAGGTGAAGGTGAAGTCATACTGCTGTTGTCGCTGAGGCAGCAGTATGTGATACACAGGGGCCACCAACGACACTCGCTCCACCACCTGGCTCACCACCTGTTAAAGTATTATTGCAGGTTACTTATTCAGGATTGCATGTACAGTAGTCCCCAATTAGTAACACAGATAGGAAGAAAAATGTATCAGCAAGTGTCTTTATAATCAATATTTGCCAGTAGAGTTTGGATATACAACAGTCAAGCGTCACACTTGTGTCATTACATAATAAAACTGTGTTGTTACTCGAGTTAGGAATGAACCCAATGTGAATATTTGTGTCAATGTTTTATTGATCAATGCAAAGTTTAACTACAGTTCATTTGAACCTTGATGGATTCGTCTATAGAGAATACAGCAATCTAAAGTCTTAGAAATACTTGTTGTAAGATAACGCGATAAATGACACATTAAATAAATTGCAATTTTTGTCATGGACATAGGCTATGCTTAAGGGTCTTATTTCTAATTATAGTAACTGCTTTTTAGAAGTGTGTCCGAGATATTTGACACACACACACACACACACACACACACATACACACACACACACACACACACACACACACACACACACACACCAAAAACAATGGTCCCTGAGATCTATTGACGTAGTATAATAGGTACAGGCATAAAGTGTTGCACGGACGGGGCGCAGAATTGGTTTGCTAAAATTATGGGTAAGTGTCTAGATACATCTAGCTCCCCGCTATTCTTGTCATATGTACCAATTTCCAGACAAGAACACGTCAAGCATACATTATTAATTGAATATTTTAATTTTATTTCGAACAACCATAAGCATTGCCCACCTGAGCCCAGGAGATGCTGGGAAGGATGTGTACAGTAAAGTTAAGGGCGTCGGCCACAGTGTCCAGCAGGTGGTAGTCTGACCCTCGATACTTCTTCGTCCGGGAACCGTCAGGAGCCACGCCCTCAGTTTCATCCCAGAATGGTAGGAACGGCAGGGCTGTTGCGTTCACCCTGGCTCCGTGGAAGCTAATATTAAGTACAGTTATTACTAAGAGATCATCGGTCTCAGTGGGAGATAAAGGAGCAGGGGTGTGTGATGTAAAGAACAGCCGAGAAGAGGATGAAATATTTGAGTAAAGGAAGACAGAAAATGACCAGTTCATACCTTGTGTTTTGTACCTTTATTTCCTGCCTTATAATTAAATCAATTGACTCGTGATTTATTTTACGATGTCCTCATATACACTTAACGAGAGATTTTGCTTCAATGGTTCTAGTTTATATAAAATCTTTACTTTTAGAACACGCTAAACACACTCATGAACACATCTTTATCATACTCACTTGGAAAACTTCTCAGGAAACAGAGGAATGTTGGAGAAGAGGAAGAGGCCGCCCCGAGGCGTCCAAGTGGCAACTCTAAGCACCCGGTTTTCCAAGGGATTGTACGGCAGGTGAGTGTACACACCACACCTACATGTAGAAATAATATCATATTATGGACTGAGTGAGAGAAAGTCGTGTGGTTTATGTTGATTCCTAACACCGCAGAGCTTTCATCAAAGCAGTTGAATAGATGAAGCGGTGTAATGTAAAACTAATTGTCCTTTAAAAGCTCATTTAGACTGATAAACCAGTATGATTACTTTAAAAAAAAATTAAAATCACAGTAAAGGAGAGGCAGTTTAGAAATAATGGTAGGAAGAAACAGGAGAAAATGAATCGTTTGTATGGCGGTATAAGAACAGGGTCAATCAAGCGGAGTGGAATGGATGTAAGTGGCAATTTTGCTTGTATTATTGTGGTAGAGACTACCTATAGATTTCTTAGATTCCAGGTTGAACAAGATGGTGTTCATTGTGTATATTACCTGAGGTTGGGTGGTGTGTCCTCCAGGTTGAGCAAGATGGTGTTCATCATGGAGAAGGTCCAGTGGGAGGACAGGAGGGCGTGAAGCTGAGGGAGTGGGAGGCTGGTGACCACCAGCAGCTTGGTGGCCCACACCAGGAGGCGGCCCTTGAGGGACCACTCGGCGAAGGTGGCGAGGAAGACCGGGTCGTGACTCACCACCACCACCCGCACACACCACGAAGCCATCCGCACCTATGGAAAGACTGAACTTTGAGTCACCAACACCAACTCCATCCACACCTGTGAGAAAAGTATTCTTTTGGGTGGAGGAAACATGTTTCTCTTCTCGTTTATTTTGTTTCTTCTCCTTTCGACCGGATTACAATAGAACAACGTTCCTTTGTTTTTTGACATGGAGGGGAAGTACTTTGTTACTGAGTGTCGCGTCAGAATACGAGTCAGCGAGAGTTTTGCACTTTGAAATAATATAGAAATTGCCTGAATCTCTGTGTGATTAAGTGAGACTTGTGAATGAGGCGCTGTGGGCTTTGAAGTCTCTTGAGATTAGGCCGTTTTGTTATTTTTCAAAAGAAACACAAGTAACATAAGTGTAATTTATTGAATTGGGTGTGATTAGGCTTGGATTTAGAGATTGAGAAGTCTAATTATATATAATTGTCCTGTTGTAATGGTCTCTACAACAGACCGTACACCGGAGACAACTGTATACATGTCGCTCGCTGGTGGGATCCGGGTAACTTTACAGATATTCACCATTAGTCAAGGTGACTTCAAAATCTCTAGCATCTTCAGATCATCAAACGGATGAGTAACTTAAATGCCCAGGAGTTGATTTAGGTGCCTGAGAATTAGACACAGACATTATAAGGTTGGCAGAAATTGTTAAATAGTTAAGCTTGGGCAGTAAAAATTTATGGAAAGGTTTTAGTCGCAAACTTAAGAGAAATATTACAGTGTTAAGAGGTGGGAATTATTTATATCTGTATTTACAGTCGCCACACGAGTAGTGCAACATTGTCACCTGAGCAAGGGAGGGTAGAGGGTAAAAACACACCTGAAATTCAGTGAGCTGAAGTTTACAGTAACTGTTACATGACTTTAAAATGTTTCGACCATAAACACAATTCTTGAAGAGGAGAGGCTATTAAAAATTAGCGATTAATGAGTTCATTGAAGACGAGCAGTACAGTTTGACTTGTACCCATTTATACATTTTTTGACAATGAATGTGACCTACCTGTTGGGTTTGGTAGAACAAGTAGAAGAGTGACCTACCTGTCGAGCCTGGTGGAGCAGGTGGGAGAGTGACCTACCTGTCAAGCCTGGTGGAGCAGGTGGGAGAGTGACCTACCTGTCGAGCCTGGTGGAACAGATAAGAGAGTGACCTACCTGTCGAGCTTGGTGGAGCAGGTGGGAGAGCAGCACCAGGGTCTCGTTAGCGTCCTGGCCGTCCACCACCACCTCGAACACCCCCACACCCCAGGGGCTCCCTCGTACTACACTCTCCTCCTGAGACATGAAAGGCTATTTTAAGTAAGATAATCTAATTATTGAAGGGGAAAGTGGGCCCCATACAAATGACTACCCGTTAAGGACAGTGTGGATACAGCACACTGTAAAATAAGCCTTCGGTACACAAGGAGGCAGCATGGCCGGTACTGCACTCGACCGTCTTCACTTCCCCAAGTTGTAAACATAGGTAACCATTTACAACTGGGTGAACAGGAAGTGCACTGAAAATAGAACACACGCGCTGCATGCAATTATTACCTTTTGACAAATTTTACAAAGAAAAGAAAAACTGTCAAGATATATTTACATTACTATCTGGAACTAAATTATAACACACAATAGTAAGGTAACCAGATTGATTCTCCCAGTATACCTATCAAATCAAGGCTGCCATGTTGTAATGTCGTTTGCCAACATACAGCAGGTGGAGGCTACATAAGAACATACAGCAGGTGGAGGCTACATAAGAGCATACAGCAGGTGGTGGCTACACGAGAACATACAACAGGTGGGAGATACACGAGAACATACAACAGGTGGAGGCTACATAAGAACATACAACAGGTGGGAGCTACACGAGAACATACAACAGGTGGAGGCTACATAAGAACATACAGCAGGTGGTGGCTACATAAGAACATACAACAGGTGGGAGCTACAAGAGAACATACAACAGGTGGAGGCTACATAAGAGCATACAGCAGGTGGTGACTACATAAGAACATACAACAGGTGGGAGCTACACGAGAACATACAACAGGTGGAGGCTACATAAGAACATACAGCAGGTGGAGGCTACATAAGAACATACAACAGGTGGGAGCTACACGAGAACATACAACAGGTGGAGGCTACATAAGAGCATACAGCAGGTGGTGGCTACATAAGAACATACAACAGGTGGGAGCTACACGAGAACATACAACAGGTGGAGGCTACATAAGAACATACAGCAGGTGGAGGCTACATAAGAACATACAACAGGTGGAGGCTAAGAACATACAGCAGGTGGAGGCTACATAAGAACATGCAGCAGGTGGGCTACATAAGAACATACAACAGGTGGAGGCTACATAAGAACATACAGCAAGTGGAGGCTACATAAGAACATACAGCAGGTTGAGGCTACATAAGAATATACAGCAGGTGGAGGCTACATAAGAATATACAGCAGGTGGAGGCTACATAAGAATATACAGCAGGTGGAGGCTACATAAGAACATACAACAGGTGGAGGCTGCATAAGAATATACAACAGGTGGAGGCTACATAAGAACATACAGTAGGTGGAGGCTACATAAGAATATACAGCAGGTGGAGGCTACATTATAACAAACATCACCTTGAGGATGGTGGAGGGTGAGGTGGTGCCATCTGTGAGGAGGATGAGGGAGCAGGTGGGCTGAGACACCGCCTCCAGCACGGCGCCCACACCACCACCATCGACTGACAACAACCCTCCCACACCTGATAAAGAATATATCACAAACTACTGTAATTAATGTCTGTGTGTGTGTGTGTGTTTCTGCATTCCTTTAGAGAAGAATTAGATAAATATATAGACACGATAATTATCACCAGATAAAGGATGTGTTTATAGGGAGAGGTGAATAGAGGTTACATGAGAATACTCCCTCAGTTGATGAATGTAAAGACAACTCAGTAGGTATATTTATTGATGAAGGGTAATATAAAAGGTGGTGATAAGGCGGCCACCGATCTTTAAGACCACTTCAATTATGTTAGGTATCTCCGAAAAAGACATTAAAGCTTTGAAAGGAAGGAAAGAAGGAAGGACATCAGTAAAACTTCAACTAATTCTCATCTCATAGCCGACCAACAACCTTCTCCAGACTCTACTGTATATAAAATCTACCTTATACTCCTAATTTGTAGAAATAAACTTATTATTTACTTTTTTCACTTATACTGTTTTTAATAACCTAAGTTAATGGTAGCCATCATTTACCCAAAGGTCAAATTTACCTCTTCTTCTTGTGACTCGTGTATTAATTCATACTGAGCAATAAGAGTGTGAGTTACGTTTCTGTGTGCACTCAGTAGCTTATAATTAACCATTAAGAATGTAGCACAGTTGACAAAATATGAATCAGCATACCTTATTGGCCAAAACGAGTAACATCTAATTCATATAGAGGTCATATAAAGTGCTAAGTAAAGGTTATACGTCACTTTACTTCATTATCATTATCATATACGTCTTCCCCAGTACACCAGACTAGGAAATCCCTAGTAAGTAAGAATAGAACTAATTTCGTCTTATTAACTCTCCTCCTTTAGTTGATAATCTGTCTTCCCTATCTCTTCGCCGCAATGTTGCTTCACTCTCTCTCTTTTACAGGTACTTTAACGGGCAATGTTCGGTGGATTTGGCATTCTGTGTACCGCCGGCAAGGCCATGGGCTCGTAACACTCGTCCTGCCCGCGGTGCCCACCGTTTCTGTGGATGTCTGTCACATAATAACCCGTTATAATACAGCCTTCTTTCCTCACACATCCAAACTGTAGAATGCTCTGCCTTTTACTGTGTTTCCATACAATCTGTTTCACTTCAAAAAGCTGGTTTTCCGGCATCTTCTTGGTGTAGATTAATATAAATTTTTCTCTTCTATTTTTAATTTCCTTTTACTCTTATTTTTTCGCCTCCCAGGCCCCACTGTGGGTCGATGATTTGTGCCCAGGTGGGCTATTCCCCGTACAAAAAAAATGGTTGGGTCTACCTGTATGAGAGCATTGGCTAGGAGTATACCTGTGTTTCCTGTTTTATTATTGCAGATTATTAGCTCTGGGTTGCCTGTATGTCCTTATTGATTTCTAACAAAAAATCAGCTACGGGTATACCTGTGTGCACCTGTGTAATGTTTGCTTTAGTGACAAGTAACCCAATGTTTACTCACCGTGTGACGTGTAGGAAGTAACATCAACCATGAGACACGTCAGGAGGACCACACTCGTTCTCATCGTCATTGTCGTCGTCAGCTAACTCACCTACAGCCCCACTACAAGTTGAAACATTCATATTAGCAGAGTGACACATACCTACAAGATCATACACACATTTTATACATGCTCATACATATACAAGAATATACATACAAAAGTATACATGCATACACAAAATCATGCACATATTATGATCACACACACATGCACAACTGTACATGCACACGATTATAATATAAATACGTGATTATACATACACGACATTATCATACATGCATGTCAAACAGACTCATGGTTATGTTCACACAAACCAATATACGCAATCTATCATACACACGAGAATATACACACACGAACATTGTATGACCTTAAACACACATAATTATTATCGTTTACACAAATATCATACACATGTAATCAAACACTTTTTTTTTTAAAGATTCGTAGGAATGTTACCTACGTGGACCTTAAGCTAAATCACTGGTCCACCCATGATCATACACAAACACGATCACATATACATAATTATGATTGTACACTGATCAATCATACACGATGATACACACTTGTATATGACTGTAAATTTTGATCACACACACACACACACACACACACACATCATATAAGCGCAAATACAAGAAATAACATACACACAAACACGCCATACATACATCAAACACACAGATATCATAAAATGTAACGATAGCTTTAAGGGTTATCGCATTTTGGTCAATTGAATCAACGATCCTGGCGTTTCTTTGCAATGTTTACACAGCGAAGTATTACACTGGAGAAGTACAAGCACACACATTGCCCCAAACATTTAACTTACCTCTGAGCACGGAGAGTCAGGGAGTAGTAATGGGTGGTCAGAGCGAAGGTGCTTACTATATATGTGGCTGGAGTTAACGCACAATCACCGCAATGCAAAAACTGATTGGTCACTGGGCTGGCTAGACCAACGTTGATTGGTTGCTGTAGCTGAGGGCGTCACTTGTCATTTGATGTCAGATATGAAGGTGAGATGCCAGAAGGATCAATGTAGTGCCTGCAGCCCATGTTGCCTGCTCGTGTACCGAAGGCTTGGTGAATATTATGATGTTTCCATACGAGCATTCTGTACTGTACTCACTTTCACCTTGCCACTACAACACACAACCACGGCCTTACCGGCGGTACATAGGATGTCAAATCCACCGAACATTGCCCGTCAAAGTACCTGTAAAAGAGAGAGAGTGAAACAACATTGCGGCGAAGAAAAAGAGAAGAAAGATTATCAACTAAAGGAGGAGAGTTAATAAGACGAAATGCCTTTGATTCCACCCTATCTAACAGTTGGGCAGAAGAAGACCCACCCCAGATATGAGAGCAGTACTCCAAGTTAAGACGAATGAATCCCTTATATACTTGAAGCAACTGCTCCGGAGTGAAGTAGCTACGTCATCTGTACAGCATTCCCAGCTTTCGGGAGGCAGCTTACCTCCACATACCTGCCAAATACTACTAGTGGTTATTATTATATTATTTTTCAATACTAGAACATACTGCCTCACAAACACCAAATAATACCACAAACATTCACATAATTACTGATACACATAAAATGTTACCAAATGCTACCTGATAACTTCTAGTGGCTACAGTAAACTGCTATATACTATCAATTACTTATCAAATACTACTTTATCCTACCAAATATTACAAAATATTACTTCATACCATCCAAATATTACCAAATACTATCACATTTCTGCTATAGTACCAATGCAGATGTGGAATAACAGTCACAGAATCATTCATTAGCTGGAGACGTATGTATGATGCCAACATGAATCATACATATAATCAGAGTGATCAAGAGTGAACGATAACAGTGCCACCCCCACCCCCACCACCCTCCAAACACCCAGCGCCCAGTGTCACTCCCCCAGCCCTGCCCTCACCCCTCATGCTGTGGTCAAAAACGAAGATGTAATCACCGCACGTGTTTATTGATTCCTCATACAACCTCTCGTGACACAAAAGCAACATAAATAATACTCGTAATCTTCCTTATCAGTCCTCAAATAATGATAAATATTTTCAGTGAATTTTAAGATCGTGTGAGATGTGCACTTGCAGGTACTGTACTTTTTTTAATGAGTGAAGTCTTGTACTTAGTTAATAACCTTCCCAGTAACATACACTTGTACTGCCACCCACCAGCTGTTTAACCACAGGTCGTGTGGAGTGATGAGCAGGTGTGGCCACATATATAACTAATCTCTTTAATGTTACACTATTATATTTTGCTGTTCCTAGCGAGTTAGAGTCGTCATGAATATAAGTTGCATTGAGTTAATCGTAATTTGAAAAGACTTATTATTTTGGGTGCTTGACTACCCCCTTCCTGACCCGAACCATGAAGAACAAAGTAAACATAGTCACCTCAACTAACACTCTATGTATCTCTACAGTGACCCACACATTATAATTTTAGGAGATTTTAATGTCTTCATCTACGATCAATTGTATATCAGTCTGGGGTTAACGTTAATTACCTGAAAGTTGGTCCCATAGGCATGACTGTCCGTTAGTGACAGTGTGGATACAGCACACTATACTAAGCCTTCGGAAGCATGACCTTGGTAACATTTGCACAAAAAATAAATAAAAAATATCGAACATTACCCAAAAAATATTAGATTATCAATGTGTATTTCATAAATATATTTACTAAAGGTCTAAAAATTACCGGAGGAACAACGTTCATTCCTACCTACACAGCCACACCTCCAGACTGACAGACTCGGGAAATCAGCTTTTAATTTTATTCATCTATCCAACCTCTACCTCTTCTTGGCCCTCCTACCCTCAATTTTACTCATTAATATCTCTACTATTATCACCTCATTCCTTAATATATGACTAAATCATCTAATTCATATTCTATATATTTCTGTTTTTTCTTTCGCCCTTTAGCTAATCTTAGTAGTTCTTCGTTTCTTTTTCTTTCTGTATAACTGATTTGTAACGCCACATTTCGAAGGCCTCTAACCCCCTTGGTGTCTGCTGAAAGTATCCACACTTCTGACCTATACAAGCATAGGAACACACTACTCAATGCCTACCAAATACTATAGGATACTTCACAATATTAAAACAGTACTGTCATGGGTTGCGTTAGGCTTACCCACGCAACCAACTCCAAAGGTTGTTTTACTAGAGATAAGGCACCCGGCGAGCCATGACTGCGACATATATTTTCCATTAGTGGTATGTTAGCCAGCCTATGGGGGGAGGCCAGTGAGACAGTGTTGTACTGTTCATCGCCTCACGCCCCAAAAAACCTCATTTTAAGTAGTATCCCCTAGGCCATGGGTTAGTTAAGACGTCGTCCCCATCCTCTCCTTCCTGAAGGGAACGGAAAACCACACAGAGTCCTCCACCGCCACTCTGTCCTGTGGCCTGTCGTTAACACGAGACTAAGTGTGCTAACCATGGTTTGTATTACCCGTGGAAAAATCACGTGTAGAAGCCTGGTTGCTACAAAAGCAATCCAGGCTGGCCTATTGCGCCTAAGTGATTAGTCCAAGTCACGCTTACGCGAGACTACGTGTGGTAACCCAAGAGTACCTTTTTGTTGTTATTTCTCGTGGAAAGAAGCCCTTGTGTGGAAGCCTGGTTGCAACAAGAGCAATCCAGGCTGGCAGTAAATGTATCACTTGAATAATTAAGGCTCCGTTAAGTCATACCCATAGTAGAGTAATCACGTGTGTCCCCAAGTTGAAAATTCCCTCTTTTAGAAGATTAATTTTATTACAGCGTGAACGTGAGTGACTCATATATCCATGCAAATTGTAAATCATTGTATGGAAGCTTGACAAATAAATGTAAATGCAATTATCTGCCCGTATCTGTGATCCTATCTTATTATTACTAAAGGTAATGACAGACTGGTTATGACAAAGTATAACCAATAACTTAGATGGATGTTGGAAATTAATGGAACTCATTAAATCATCATTTATCAAGTATAAATCATGGAATGTCGGGTGGTGGAGTGAATTTCTCCGTAGATACACCATAATCTCCTGTAAGGAACCAGTGTGAAGGTATCGAACTCTACGGTAAGAAATATAAGAAACACAATATATTATAATCTTTATATAATATAAAACACGTCTAAACCACTACAACGAAAAATCATGACAAGTACATAATACATAATCCTTCTTAAATACTTCTAGATTTTAACACATCCTGCCTGACATCTTCTAAATACAAATGTACTCTACACAACATTCCAACATACAGGCATATAATACATCATACTACAGAATCAATACTAAATACCGGTGTTATAACTAAGTCTACAAAATCCAAGTAAAAGTACAAATTCCAGCAAATCAAGTCAAAGTCTGGTTAAGTAAAATCGAATCCAAATCGAGACAAAGAGAACATTTAAATGGATGAAAAATATATTAAGATAAAGAACAAAACTCAACTCAAAATCAACGGACAAACCAACACATTCTGGAGGACCTTTCTTGAAAATTCCTAAGGTCATTGAGAGTCCAACAATCGGTCGGAAACAGTAAAAAAAAAAATCGCATCGCTGCCCTGGTTTTAAGGTGTCGCAGTTAAGAAAAATAAATGAAGTTAATTTGTCGACAAACTACATCTTGAATGTTTTTTCATCTTCGAGGATTTTAAATTTCCGACTCTAAACTTGCCATTGATTTCAAAATGGCTTCTTCTTTTATCAAAATTATCTTTTCAGTCTTGGCCGCACCCTGATGCACTTTTTTTTATTATTTTTTTTTTATTATTGGGCACCATCCTACATCCTTGTGTAAGGTGAAGTGCAGAAGCGTTAACAGCGCCCAACAGGGAAGCATGCTAAGTTCATGCTTGCCTTTATGTCTCATGAGTTAAGGGCGTAGAAGCCTGAAGAGTCAAGGGCGTAGAAGCCTGAAGAGTCAGTGGTTTATGTCATCAAGTTTTTGGAAGCTCCAACAACTCCCTGATTACGAATTCGCAACTTTCGACTTACAACAGGTACCTACTTT